CACCCACACACACCCACACGCCAGGCGTGGGTTTTAAGCCACCGGGTCCGGGACGCGAACCGCAGTCGACTACGTGGGAGTCCAGCGACACAGCCATTACGCTAACTGCTGGTTCCCAATAAGTAAACGTTTTTAGCGCAGCAATCCCACTTCTTTCCAGCTTGCTGTCAGAAGAAGGGCTGGAGGTAACGGCTCTTATGACCGTATCTGGCTCCAGCTGCAGGAGCGGGAGGGCCCGCTGTGACTCTCCCGGGGACCAACGTCAGTGGATCCAGCTTCGGATCGAGTCATTTATCAAAAACATACAACATACTGAGCACATAAAACAGATCACCGCGCAATTTCTGATCACGACTCTAACTTTCATATACTTGGAAAAAAGAGAGATCCCAGCAGCTAAAGGATACTTCTAACCAAGATCATGTCTCTTTATTGAGAAGCAATATTGTAACGAGGCGAGCGGACACTTGAGGTCAGCTGGCCCCGGACAGCACACTGACTGCTGATTTCTCTCACACTCTGCTCCAGTCTTGAGGACACTCTGGAAAGCACCTCTCCTCTCACCCTGCCTGTCCCATAGTAATTTTGCTACTCTTTGTACTTTTTGTTGGTTTCCTCCCTTTCGCCTCTGAAAAGGACATAAGCCTGTCTGGAGGGCTGTCTGAGCGCCCGGGGTGTGTGTGTGTGTGTGTGTGTGTTAGGGGCCGCACTCGGCCGCCTCGCCTGGCCCCTTGCCAGAAGGCTACTGCTCGCTGCTCAAGTCCACTGAGCTCCCGACTCGCGGGACCCTGCCTGCCAGATCCCCATCTCACCAGAGCTAGCAATCTTGTCAAATTATACCTCGTTAGAAGTATTATTTTCATCAACGCCCTGCCATTTTTATGCTGGAAGAGATTCTAATCTCACTTTACAACCTACAACTTCGGGCAGCAGGTGGTGTGGAGGCTGGGCTGGCCGGATCCCACAAGGCTGACTCTGCGGTTTGAGTCCCGGACCCAGCAGCTTGAGGAACATGCTGGGTGTCTTATGTGTGCATGCCCAGAATCCTGAGAGGAGAGACTGTAGCCACCACCACCACCCCCAGGAGTAATTTCTCACTTCCTCTCTCGCTCTCTCTGGTGAGTACACATGCCCTCTAGCAAACTAAAAAACCAAAGCAAACCTTAACAAGAAAACCCTCCCACTTGCTCTAAGTCTCCCTGTGAAGTCATCCTCCCTGTGGCTGGAAAGGCTGAGGCAGCTATGGCATGGGGGGAAAACGCAAAGGCAGAGAGCTTGGCACCAGCAGGAAGGGACGCGAGAGGGCACTCACATCCAGCCTGTCTCCTGGAAAGGACGGGAGAGGGCAAAACAGTGCAATGGAAATGGAAAAAACAGTGAAAGAGTCCTAGAATTTCAATTCGCAATGAAAAGGGACAGGACAGAAACAGGTTCAGACCTCCCCGTCGAGACGGGCCTTTCTTACCAACCTGGCTGGCCTGGTGCTTTCTGGAAGGCAGGGACACTTAAGAAACAAGGAAAAGCTGGGACCAGCAGATGGCGTCATGGTCATGTCCCCACACGACTGACTGCAGTTTGAGTCTCGGACCTGGTGGCTTAACACTCACACCCGGCGCGTGTGCATGCGTGCCTATAATCTTGAGAGGACACTGAAGAAGGGGTTGACACGTGGCCATCCCCCGGGGGGGAGGGGGGTGTGATTTCTCGCTTTCTGTCTCTGTCTCTCTGGCAAGTGTATGCGCCCCATCACAAAAATCTCTTTAAAAGAAACAAGGCCAAGCTTCCCTATGCCATTCCCTCCGAAGTCCCGTCCCCAGGAGGGCCTCGCGGCTTTACGTACGCTTCCTCTTTCGAGCAGCAGCTGGCACTTGCTCAGGCAGTCGGGGCTGTTGGTGAACTCCACCAAGGCTTTCTCGGCCTGCAGGCGGGTGGCCGTGTCTGTGGTCTCATACAGCTGTTTGCACAGGTTCTCTAGCTGGGCCAGGCTCTGCAAGAGATCAGTCGGGAAGTCAGCCCAGCCTACTGCGTATGCGCGGAGCGGGCTCGGAAGTGCTGGGAAAAGATAAAGTAATAATCAAGAGGCCACTGCTTTCCAGCTCTCGGAAGAACCCAGGCAGACCTGGGCTAATATTAGCCACCTGTCGTTGTCTTTGATGCTTTAGAAGACAAAACGATAGGATGCTTGAAATACCCATATCCGCTTTTCAAGTCATTCTGTAGAAGATCAGTCACAAATGAAACATTTTCCCCTTGCAAACACCCGTCCTCCTAAGTGCTTCCAAAAGGCTTTCAATAAAAATTCAGAATTTGCTTTTTCTGCCATGAACTGTAAAGGTATGCACGCCAGTGGTACTGCTGTTAAAATTAAGCGCAGAAACACGCAGCGTAAGTGGCACATACGTCTTCATACGGTTTCAGACATTGCTCCTTTAAGCAGAAGCCAGGGGCTGGCGATCCCGTACTGGCGCAGAGCAAGCCCCGAGTGTACGCACCGTCCTCCCCGGGTCCCTCATGTCTGAAGTTCAGCAGACTCTCTCCTGCGGTTGGACTTTAACTCTTGCTCCAGCCCCAAATTTAAAATGGAAGGGTCAAAATAAACTCAACCCTAGCAATATGCCCGGCAAGAGATAAGACAAGGGAAACACCCCCAGACAAACTCGTCTCTGCAAATCTTGAATCAGTTCCAGGGAGGCAGTGAGGGGATGGGTGTGTGCTTTGGTCCGACTCCAAAAGAACGTGATCGACACCCTCTTACTGCAGTGTTTAAAGGCAAAGGGGAAGGAGTGAGTTCAGACTACGTTTAACCATCACCTCTCACAGAGGAGGATATCCCACACCTGTAAGTCTTTAGAGGAATGGTTTGAACTTTAAGAAGCCTCTTCTGAACAGTGGCAGGAGAGATTTGGTTTAAATAGTTTGAGGGATCCTACTATTAGAAATGACAATTCTGACAAGAACAAAAATCACAATACTTAAACAAACCAACCTGTGTGAGCTGCCTGAAATATATTACACAGCCAGCCTGCCCAAGGCTTTCATTGTCACTTTGTCTCATTACACTGTGACTTTATAAATCACAGCTCTTCCACTAAGCAGGAGAGCCCTCAGGACAGGATTCCGATTTTACTCAGCCCAATTAATAAATTTCTAACATTAACCTAAAGGAAACAAGAAAGACAAATACAAACACTCCTAGGATCACTGGTCTCACTTCAGAGAGCCCCCAAAAGATGAAAAATGACAACACCCACCCTTAAAACAAAGCACTCGTGACAACTCTTGGGCCTTTGGTTTTTGAGGGACTCATGCTCGTCAATTCATAGGCAGAGAGAAAACAGTTGCAGAGGAAGCTCCCAGACAGCTAAACTCTGTAAGCAGGACCTGACTTTTGCAAGGCTCATAAACACAAGGAACAGAAGATGCAGCTAATTGCACGTATTTCAAAAGTCACACGTGAAAGTCTTTATGCTTGCCAGTACCGGCCTAAGACCCCGTTGAAGACCGAATCCATTTAATTATAAATGCCTACATTCCCGAACAAGGGATTAAATCCCCTTCACGAGGCTTTTATTTCAATTTTGGAGTTTCATTTTCTTCCCCTAGTAGGTCATAACTCACTCAATAGGAACAGATTATTGAAAAAGGAAGACAAAGAAGACATCAACCCAAGGACACAGCGACTTCAACCGAGAGCTGGCTAGGAAGTCTGCCACAGGAGTCGGGGGAGCGGCCGCCTTACCCCCACAGCACCCCAGCAGACCGGCCTACACACCTGCTGCTCGGGATCTAGCATGCTCCTCAGCCCGACCAGTCAGCTCCCAGCTCCCCCTGCAAGGCTCGTTTATGTTTATCACAACAAAGTCGTTCGCGTGACAATGGCGCAGCATCTGTCAACGGCTCCCAACTGCTGAAGACCTAGGAGCAGGTTATGGTGGGCTCTTTGCTGCTGTTTGGCTTTGATTGGCTTTAATTTAGCAGACAGAACACACTGCAGGGGACGTCTGGTAACGAGTTCTCAGCTCAGGAAACAAGACTGTAAAAAGCGGAAAGTAACGTGGCCATCTACACACAGTTTGAGGACGACAGCTGTCTTCCTTTCCAGAACAAATAGGAAACCATTCTGCTTCCCATCAATGAGTGAAGCCGTCTGAGACACAGGGCCAGTACTCATTTTCTTAGAGTCGCCCACGCTGCCCATGGAAGGGGAGAGGAATGACACATTTGCTCTTAGCTCCTTCGGTTCCCAGCGTTGCCAGGGCCGACGCTGTGGCTGGGTTATTCTGCACCCCCTCTTGGTTATGCCGCATGACGTGCACTACGATGACCTGATGAGCTGTTAAAGTGTGTACTTCGGACCGGGGTGACGATGACGCACCCTATAGCATGGGAACATTCATGCTCACCCTCCTTAGTCTCACTAAAACATCTACCGTGACCTCAGAAACAGCCCAGATCCAGAGAAGAAAGTCTATTTCTGTTCCTGAGATCGCCAAACCTATAATCTGCAGAGAAACTCCCACCTGGTCCAGTTGGAACAGAAAGCGCATTTGGTGAAATACTGACGTGAAAACTGGAAGGCGACCTTCAACTAGCAAGGTGTTGTTTTAGTATAAGAAACCTAGACGTTTAACCCCCAAACCTAACCACAGCCGTTCCACTGACAATGGTCATAAGCTTGTATCTTTTTAGATATTTAGCAGCATTATTTTTTGCAGTCCACTCAGCTTGGATAGAGAAGAGTGGCCCAGTTACTCCATGTCGATGGCAGGTGTGATGGTGGCATCAGAGCCCAGAACGTCGGGCTGACCTGCCGCGCTGCCTCTAGACCGGAGAGAACCGAGATCCTGTCTACGCTGGGCGCTGTACCACTCCACTGAGCCACGTCCTTGAACTTTGTTGCCTAACCCTGCTTTAAGATAGCCTATCAGCACATGCTCTCAGATGAGCCTCACTGCTTAAAGGATATTCAGTTGGAGGCTTCCACTCAAGACAAGGGTATGGCTTTGAGGAAGGACTTGAGGCTTTCCCAGTGACTCGGAATACCAGACTGAAAACAAGCCAGGTGAGGAGCAGCCCTCTCCTGGGCCACCCGGCCACCGGAAACGAGCAGCCGCCGCCTTCCATCACAAGGTGCAGGTGCAGCCAGAGATGTTCTGAGGAAGAACAGAGGCACCTCAACTTAGGCGCTGAATTTTCATAATTAGGATGCCTTCTTTAAGAAAAAATAAAGTTGCTGAAAACATTAACCCACTTTGAAGCTGTTCATGAAGCCCATTCGTTTAGACCGCCCTCAGCTGGAATGCTTCTGTGTCTAAGAAACACTGTGGTGAGTAAATTAAAAGATCGTACTGGACCTTGCAGAAAACGAACCACTTTAAAGATCTGAGAGGTAAACAGAATTGATACACAAATTAACTTTTAAAAAATCGACTTAAAAAGGCATTTTTATCGCCTATAACGAGTATCTAATTATCATAGATAATCATAATCATAATCATTAAAAAGTCAGTAACAGGGCCAGCAAGTGGCGTGGTGGATAAGGGCGTTGGACTCCCACATGGCCGACCACAGTTTGAGCCTCGGACCTGGTGGCTTGCTTTCTCGCTTTCTCACTTTCTCTCTCTCTCTGTGTCTTTCTGGTCAAATAAAAAAAAAAAAAAGAATGAATAAATAAAATAAAATAAATAATTCTAAAAAAAAAAAAGTCAGTAACAAATAATTACTGTTAGGTTAAAAAACCTAGTGGAGGGGCCAGCAGGTGGTATAGTGGTTAAAGATGCTGGATTCCCACATGGCCTACTGTATGTAGTTCAAGCCCTGGACCTGGCAGCTTGCTTTCTCACTTTCCTTCTCTCCCTCTCTTGTTCTGTCCTTCCATGGTCAAGTTAAAAATAAATAAATAAAGTTAAATAAAAATTAAAAAAAATAATTTTTAAAAAAAAAAAAAAAGGTAGTGACAAGCAGGGTATAGACTACATTACCATTTGTGATATACCTTAATACATTCATAGGAAAAACCTGGGTGAATACAAACCAATTATCTCTAGGAGGAAAGATTATGGAAGACTTTCAATTTCTGTTATATTGCTCTGTATTTTTTTTCTTTTACCACAACCGTATAATACTCTGTAAGCAGTAAAACAATCTCAATAACTGTACATACAAATATTTTTAAAGGGTAATTTAGGCTGCATTCTTTCTAAATTAACTCCTCTGATTAGTAATGTTTTACTAATTAACACTTGATTCTGTTACTTAAAATTAATAAAACATAGTCATAAAAACAAAAAAGCTAAAGGATATTCCAAAGGCTTATTTTTAAAAACCTACGTTTGTAGGGGCCATGTATTCTGCACCCCCTCTTGGTTATGCCGCATGACGTGCACTACGATGACCTGATGAGCTGTTAAAGTGTGTACTTCGGACCGGGGTGACGATGACGCACCCTATAGCATGGGAACATTCATGCTCACCCTCCTTAGTCTCACTAAAACATCTACCGTGACCTCAGAAACAGCCCAGATCCAGAGAAGAAAGTCTATTTCTGTTCCTGAGATCGCCAAACCTATAATCTGCAGAGAAACTCCCACCTGGTCCAGTTGGAACAGAAAGCGCATTTGGTGAAATACTGACGTGAAAACTGGAAGGCGACCTTCAACTAGCAAGGTGTTGTTTTAGTATAAGAAACCTAGACGTTTAACCCCCAAACCTAACCACAGCCGTTCCACTGACAATGGTCATAAGCTTGTATCTTTTTAGATATTTAGCAGCATTATTTTTTGCAGTCCACTCAGCTTGGATAGAGAAGAGTGGCCCAGTTACTCCATGTCGATGGCAGGTGTGATGGTGGCATCAGAGCCCAGAACGTCGGGCTGACCTGCCGCGCTGCCTCTAGACCGGAGAGAACCGAGATCCTGTCTACGCTGGGCGCTGTACCACTCCACTGAGCCACGTCCTTGAACTTTGTTGCCTAACCCTGCTTTAAGATAGCCTATCAGCACATGCTCTCAGATGAGCCTCACTGCTTAAAGGATATTCAGTTGGAGGCTTCCACTCAAGACAAGGGTATGGCTTTGAGGAAGGACTTGAGGCTTTCCCAGTGACTCGGAATACCAGACTGAAAACAAGCCAGGTGAGGAGCAGCCCTCTCCTGGGCCACCCGGCCACCGGAAACGAGCAGCCGCCGCCTTCCATCACAAGGTGCAGGTGCAGCCAGAGATGTTCTGAGGAAGAACAGAGGCACCTCAACTTAGGCGCTGAATTTTCATAATTAGGATGCCTTCTTTAAGAAAAAATAAAGTTGCTGAAAACATTAACCCACTTTGAAGCTGTTCATGAAGCCCATTCGTTTAGACCGCCCTCAGCTGGAATGCTTCTGTGTCTAAGAAACACTGTGGTGAGTAAATTAAAAGATCGTACTGGACCTTGCAGAAAACGAACCACTTTAAAGATCTGAGAGGTAAACAGAATTGATACACAAATTAACTTTTAAAAAATCGACTTAAAAAGGCATTTTTATCGCCTATAACGAGTATCTAATTATCATAGATAATCATAATCATAATCATTAAAAAGTCAGTAACAGGGCCAGCAAGTGGCGTGGTGGATAAG